CACTGTTAGGAAATGAACGTTGCAACATTAGAGATCTCTCTTTGAAGGCTTTCATCACGGCAGGTTGAGGAGAGGAAGGGTTTCGCAAAGCAGATTGATTAATGTGATGGTGTCGGGGTTTGCGGGCTTCGAGTTGGGGGATTGCTGCGAGCGTTCAGAAGGCGCTGAAACTTGTTGAATATGGCAAGGTGGCAGGGTAGCCTATTCCTGAGTGGTGGTGGCTCCAAGTTGGGCACTTTAAGATCCTGCTGATGATGAGCTTGTACTTAAAGGAGGTGCTCTGAAGAGTACCCTGGATGGAACATCCCGCAAGTCTATGTTGTGCTGATGTCTTTTCTAAGATCGAGGCGAGAATGGGCGTCCGGGAGAGCAAAACTCTGAAGGCTATTGCCGAGGTGGGTGTCTCTTCGCTTCAGGTTAAGGGCGGAGCGATTGAGAATTGTTCTAAGTTTAGCTCAGTTTGGGATCCCTTTGAAGTACACTCTAATAAGAACGACTCCGGGTACGACACGAGGCCGGGATTGTAGAGGTTTTACACATTTGTACCTGTTTCTTCCGAAGTTGAAGCTTGAGTTGAGGTTGGTGATGTGGGTGAGGATGTTGAAGCTAGTGGTGAGTGCGACGATGATGGCAGCGAAAATGACGATGACAATCTGGCTGTTGTCGAGGTGGTGAGGATGAATGTGAGTTTGATGGCCATGGTAACTTGTAGGTTGCCAAGCACTAGCCCCGACAGCCCGAAATCCCCAACCTAAGCCGTGCATTCAAAATCCAAGCCGTATACCCCCGATCATAACAATGACTCTGATTAGAATGAGCATGTGGATGTATAGTTTCGTTACGCACTTTCGGCAGGCTATTCGTTTCCAAGCCGTCTCCGTGCGATTTCGGCTGATGATGATGATGATGTCACATCACTGCATATGGATTTTTGCGCCTGTTTGTAGTTTCCTGCCCGAAACCTCCGTAAACCCTAGATCTGTGTTTCACCGACGGCCATCACACCAAGAACCTCATCTGGTGGAGTCCGAATCGAAGCATAAGCCGCCGTACTCCGGAGCACAAAAGCTTCGAACCTTGAACCCTAAGCCTTACTAAGCCTGAGCGAGACTGAGCATCCGATGATGTTCAGGCCGGTCTGCCGGTATTCCCCTTGAAGTGTGAAAGCTCCGGGTCCTCGGAGGAGGCGACACAGCGAGTGTCGGAACTCTCGCCACGGGATGTGACTGACATCGTTTGGGCCCGGAGCCTGGCATTGTGGCAGTCGTGATGCTGCTGTTGCGGCACATCACGCGGCTGCTTCAGAGGACATGAGCATTGAATTGAAGCGCTTTCTGCCGCAAATGCCCCACACACCTTGCAGATCAGAGGTAGGAGTTACCGTTACAGCCAAACTGCTTGAGTAGTTTCAGGTCAAGGGCATTGATAGTTTACAAGAGTGTTGTCCATCCAGCAACTGGCTATGGAGGATTCTGTGCCGTTTGTGGAGTTTTCACAGCACGAGGATCTAACGGTCCGGCTTCGGAACATCCTGCACGATTATACCTTCGGCCCTGGCGTTTTTCGAGAGCTTCTGCAGAATGCGGACGACGCAGGTGCCCGGTGCTTTGCACTCTATGCCGATGCAGTGGAACACCCAAAGCTCGAGGGCCTTCTGGACGCACGTCTGGCTGACTGGCAGGGTCCGGCGGTCGTGGCCGTCAACGATGCGCAGTTCACAGATGCGGATTTTGATGGCATTCGTTCAGTGGGAGCCTCTGTAAAGAGGTCGGATCATTCGAAGATTGGACGCTATGGCTTGGGCTTCAACTCCACCTACCATCTGACAGATGTGGTGTCCTTCCTGTCGAGGGACCGGCTCTGTATTTTCGATCCTCACCGAGCTCATTTGCCTTCTGGCCTTCCAGGCCTTCAAGTGCAGCTGACGGCGGAGCTCAAGAAGAAGTACTCTGCGCAGCTGGCCCCCTTTGTAGCCGTGGTAGAGGCCTCGGCCTCTTTGGGGGAGCCTTGGGAGCCTGGAACCATGTTCCGGCTACCCTTAAGGACAGCAGAGCTGGCATCCCGTTCTCTGATCTCGAAGCAGAGCCACAGCTTTGAGGATGTCTTGGCAGTCTTGCAGGAGTTGGCGTCCAGCGCCGGGGAGCTGCTGCTGTTCCTGCAGTGTGTCGAGGTGCTCGAGATCCATGTGCGCCATCCCCAACACAGGGATTGGAGCTGCTTGGGCCGCTCCTGGATTCGAACGGCATCGGCTGCTGTAACCGAGCGGTTGAGGAAGGAACGCCTGATGCTCCGCAACGTGCTTGCAAACGATGCCAAGAAGGCAGCTCGCCGACTGGGCCTCCTCATTGAGGTAGTCACCGATTCCCGGTCTGGCCTGTCCAAGGAGAACAAACGATCTTCGAGGCCATGGTTGGTGACTTTGCGCAGCGAGCCAGTGGAGAATGCAGAGGTTCTCAACGGGCCTGCCGAGGATGAACTTCCGAGCTGTCGCATCGCAGCGGTGGCGGTGGCTCTTCGCACCAACTCCGAGGCTTCAGCTGACTTGCAGGGACAGGCATACTGCTTCCTTCCGCTGTCTCTCGCAACAGGGCTGCCGGCTCACGTCTCTGCGAATTTCGCATTGTCGGCAAACCGCCGAGACTTGTGGAGACGTAGCGATGACCGAGTAGGCAGCGAGAGCCACTGTCGGGCGGCCTGGAACGAAAGTTTGTTGGAGACCACGTGTCTTGCCCGGTGAGTTGAAGTAAACCTACACGATTCTTTGGCTTTTCGTGCAACCATTGAACATGAAGGTCTGAACTATTTAGGGGCTTCTGAAATGTACAACTGAGGTGTCCGCGAGCCTATGCAGATGCGCTGGAGTTGTTGGCTGGCGGAGTGGTCAGCCAGCAGACACTCCCTTTCCCGACTTTGAGTACCGTCTCCGATGTACTCCAGGAAGACTTGTCCGAGTGCAACAAAAATCTCTGGCATCTGTGGCCCGGAAGGGAGGCCGCTGGGCACTTTCTAGCCATGCCCCGTCGCGTCAGTGAAGAGTTGGTGGCCCGGGATGCGGCCGTGTTCCTCGACGACCAGCATAAGTTTCAGACGGCCAAGCTTTGCTTGCTTTGTTTGGATGGAGAGTTTGCGAGGCTCAAGGACGAGTTGCGTGCTGCACTCCGAAGGCTGTGCGTGACAGGAAGGCGACGGACGGTCGTGCAGGTTCCAGCGGCCTTCGGCGGCATACTTGAAGAGGTCAAGGGAATCACGTGGCTGCAGCCACAGTCCCTGGCCAATATGCTGAAAGGCTTCGACACGAAACACGCCACGATTCAGGAGGCAGATGCGCTTGTGGAGTACCTCCTCTCACCACAAGGAGCTGGACCGCTGGCACTGTTGCATGGACTGAGGCTTTGTCCGCTTCTTTCGGGCCGAAAGGGTATCTTTCTCCACCGTGTGGAGGGGGAGCGTTACTATTGGTCAGAAGACCCTGAAATGCAGCAGCTTTTGCCAGGCAAAGACTTCGTCGATCCGGCTTCCCGCACCTTTGCCCTGCTGAAGCCACGTGTGGCCAATTCGCACTTGAACATCTCTCTGCTCAATTGCAAAGCTCTGACGGTTCTGCTGCCATCAATCTTACCACCGTCCTGGAAGAACAAAGGCCAAGTTGTAATCACGAAGGCTGGACAGATCGAGGTTGATGGCAAAAGTCAAGAAGCGGTGCGGCAGGAGTACATCTCGGCACATCAGGCTGCTCGACAGGCAACAGCCCCAAAACACGGTTCAGCCAAAAAGCTACAGTCAAGAACGTTGCCGAAGGGTGCAAAAAACGGGCAGCGTCGCTTGAAAGACCATGCATGGCACGAGGATTATGACGATGAGGACTGGGACGAGGATGAAGGGGAGGAGGAGGACTTTGAAGAGCCTATCGGGCCAGCCATTTCTGATACAAAGTCATTGACTTGTCCCATTCTCGATGTGGCAGGACTGGAGACCGTGGTTCGTCGTTGTCGTTTGATGTGGAAACTGGTGGAAAATAGTCAAGAGAAGGGCAACAACATGGAAGGCATCCAGCCGTTTCCGTGTGTGCCGGTGGAGGAAGCAGAGCCGCACCATGTAGGGTGCAACGGGTGTTTCTGCCTCATTAGCATGTCATATGCGGACAACAAGCAGCTGGCCGCCATCGAGGACTTCTCGGTCGAGGAGGTCGGGGACGGCTTCTAAACTAGGCTTTTTTAGGGGCAAAGTTTCCAGCCGGAGAAATTTCCAAGCAGCCCCAAGGTCAAGCTTCTGAAATCCATGGGTGTGCCGATGCTCAGACCAGGCAAGAAGCTGCGTACCGCCCTTGGCTTAGACCGGACCTCGGTGGTTCGAGCCCTATGCCGTGCCCTTGAGGAGGAGCTCGGCCCGCCTGTTGCCGTAACAGGTGCGAATGCTCGGCTGCATTTGGGGTTGAAGTTGATGAGACTGCCTATTGAGAGGGCCCTTCCGCTACAGCGCCTTGTGTGCTCAGTCCTAAGAAGGGGCAGCGCGAAAGATGCCGAGCGTGCCTTGGCCTTGCCTATCTTCCCGACAGCCGGTGGCCGGTTTGCAGTTCCGCTGTTGCCAACGAGTGCTTCCGTGATCAGCCCTGACGAGATTTGGGATGAGCTGCTGAAAACCTACTTTGAGGACTTCCTGGTAAGCTGGGAGGGATCCGCAGGCGATGTGCTACGAGACTTCAAGATACAGCGCCCTTCATTGGCCAACTTCCTTGCCAACTTCTGTGCCCCGCGTGCTGGCATCTTTGATCAGCAGCTGTCTCTTCACTTTCTGGAGTGTGTTGCTACTGTGGGCGCCGTGTTTTCCCGGGGTGCAAGCCGCGATGGTGAGAAGCTGGCCCAGGCCTGCGAGGCTGCACCAATCGTTGTTGAGCCGGGCGACTCCGAAAAAACGCCCAAGCGATATCGGGCCATGGACCTGGTTGACCCGGACGATGCGGATCTGTCCCATCTTCTGGGCACGGCCACCTTTCCCCCAAAAGCCTACTGCACTGCCTTGATTCTGCCGGTTCTCAGGAAAGCCGGTTTGCGCAGCTTTGCCGATGAGGAACTATTTCTCCGAGCAGCACAGAGAGCTGAGTGGCAGGTTCTCGATTCAGGGAACGTGCAATCAGCATCGGCGTTGCTGAATCAGCTCAAACGTAGGTTCCACAGCCTCAAATGGTCGTCGAGGCAGGCCGCATCTTGAGGTCTTGATGCTTGTTTCAACTGTTTGGCCGTTCAAAGAAACTCTTAACGACATGTTGTGCTGTTGTTAGCTGGTCAAAGAAAACCGGTCGGAAAAAGTGTCCTAAGTATGTGGGGGTCAAAAACACATACTGGAACAGTTGCGACTTTACGTCCGGTCGGAAGAAGCTGTCCTGGGTATGAATTGTCCTGGAATGTGCTTTGATGTCCGCTCGGACATTACAGTAGTGGGTATGTTGTAGGGTTCGACGATTACTACTACTCGCATGTCTTGGTGTCGGTATGTGTAACGGTTTGTTCATTGAGACGAGTTCTGGACATGCCTCCTGTCCAAAGTTCGCCAACCCGCTTGGAGGACATATGCTTCCTTGAGCCGCTTCCGCATCTTCCCCGCCCTCCCGCCCACTTCACGCCTTGGAGTTCAGCCCCCTGCCGCTCCTGGTGCGATTCGAGATTGTGTGGCGCTGGACGCTCCCTGCACGCTCTTTGACCACGCGGCGCTGGCTTGGACACAGCTGGTGGTCTTGGACCCCGAGACCTACCGCGGCTGGCCCAAAGCACTCCTGCAACGCTTCGGGAGCCTTCAGGACCCACCGTCGCTGGAAGTCATAGTGGCAAATCTCGCAGAGATCGCAAGAAGGTGGTCACAAGAGCCTTTGCCGACGGAGACTGAGTCTCGGCGAGAAGCTGTGGAGCAGCGCCAGCAGGTCACCAGCCAGCATCTGAAGGCTTTCCAGCCTATGTTCCACAAGCGAAGTCATTCGACCCAGATCATGGTGCAGCATCAATTGAGCAACGTGAACTTCTTGGTCTTGGCCGACGGCGCCTTAGCGAGTCCATGCCAAGTCTTCACTGCACTCCACGAGGGAGCTGATGCATCAGATGAAGAGCCGGAAGGCGCAGGCTATCCGACCCACAAACGCCGGACGCAGGGCACCTGGAGCCTGCCAGGCTACCTGCGACCTTTCCGCCGGTTGCTGCTAGGCGTGGCAGGACCGGCTGTTCGCCTGAAGCGGCAGCTTCCAACGATCAACGTGCCACCAGCGCCAGCCGCATCGGTGGTGCCTACTTTCATAAAGACTTCCTTGAACAAACCCGAGCTTGCCGATGTGATCTTCGTCCTCCAGGCGGATGATGGCACGAAGGAGATCTACGCGCACCGCTTGGTGTTGGCGGCCGCCTGCGAGCATTTTCGAGTTCTTTTTACCTCCGATTGTGCTGAGGCAAAGGAGCCGCGATGCCGTCTTCATTTGCCGGATTGGGTCTCCTCTCGGGGGCTGTTGTGGCTGCTGGCCTATTTTTACCAGGGCTTTGATGCTTTGGTGGCCCAAGAAGTGGCCTACCAACTCGACCGGGGTCTTGAAGTTTCGGAGGTGGTGGTGCCAGTGAGAGTGACAGGCAGGTCTCAGAAGCCACGGTGCTTGGCTACTTCGGACACCGGCGAAGACCTCTGTTGCCTTCTCCGGCTCTGTGAGTTCTACGACGTGAGCCACTTAAAGAGGTGGACTGAGTGCGAGCTGGGCAAACTCCTGACGGGGGAGAACCTCATCGCACTCTCGACACACGCCTATTTCTGCAACGCCAACCAGCTGCTGAATGTCTGCATCTACCATCTTAGGAGCCAGTACGCAGAACTGGTGGGCTTGGAGGAGTGGGAGTCGCTAGAGCCGGCCATTAGGGAGTTGGTGTTGACGGACGTGAGCGGCGAGGCGGACTGAGATCTGACAAATGTGATTGGCCTTCATGGTGCGGTTGCTGTTCTTATTCTGATTCTACTGCTCTGGTAAAAATCATGGCGTGCCTGTGCAACGGCAGCCCTTCGGAGAGCTCTGAGTCCTGTACAGATCAGGCCGCCGACGAGAAACAAGGAGGTTGTCATCCCTACGCCGCTACGCCTACGCTTGTATTCGCCGTATTCTGCATTAGGACGAAGGATGCCACCAAGCAGAGGGGAAATGCTAGAACACTAATTTACTAATGGTAACGGCGACAATCTGCCGAACTTGTAATCGGCATGCTGGACATACTCCTAGCACCAAGAGTTATGCAGGCAATTCCAACCAACAAAACAAGAACGCCGTGACGACTCAACAGAAGCTGATCTCTCGGAACCGGTTTGTTTTGAAACCGCAGTAAGCCTGAAGAGGCCTTGCTTTGGAGCCTTGTGGCAGGGTTTCTTCGTGCTTTTGCTATGTGCTGTGGATGCGGCTGTTCAACGATGTCGCGGGCTTTTAGTTGGTTGTGTACGGCTAACGAGAGACGCAGCATTGAAGCCTGGAGTGTTCTGCGTGTTCGCTTAGGCCCTGGCGCATGCGCAGACCCCAGCCCCTGGCTTCATGGCCGCAGCCGCCGGATATGCCAAGGCTTCGGGTGTTGTTGGGCTTTAGACTTTAGAGTCTAGTACCAACAGAAAGCGAAACAGCATTCTTATCTCGATTAGTAATCGTAATCACCGAGCTAGCGCGATCAACTTCACACCACGACTCCCTCACCGTTAGCATTTTCGCCGTCGTCGCTGCCGTCTTCGTTATGGTTCTCGTTTCCCCAAAGGCGCCGTTAATTATCATCACCTCTCCAGTTTAGCAGATCGTAGGACCTTGTCAAGGGATAAGTCAGGACTGCTCATGCCTTCCCAAGAGACAACAACCACACAAAAGAAGCCATCATTCACCTTCCGCTCAGTCTGAACAACCCTCAACTCAAAAGAATCTAAAGGCCTGCATATCCTTATACTTTGGCCGTTTGGAAAGGAATGGCCAATTGCCCCCACTAGCCGTATGATCTGGTGAAGGGTCTAGGGTTTCTGGCTTGAGGCTTAGACCTTGGCATGCAGAGCTTGGGGTTCGGGATTTATGTATTGGGACTTAGGGTTCAGGGAGGCTGGAAGCAAAACGGGATGTTCAGGGCTTAAGGCTTGGGGTTTCGGGTTTTCCAGATCAAAGGCTGTTGGGGCATAGGGTTGAGGGCCTCAGGCTTAGGTTCAGGGGTTTAGGGCGAAGGGCTCCTTCTTGTGGCAGTGCAGGGTTTCAGGGATGGGGGTTATGCCGCTATGCCCTGTTGGTTTGAGATTCCAGGCTCGAATTGTACATCGTTTTCGTCATGATCATGCTCCGGCTTCGTTATCAGGTGTGTTGAGTTGTGAGGGTCCACCTGCAGGCGCGGCAGTCCTCTTTCGGCACCCAGGAGCTGTTCCTTGTCAAGCAAAGGTAGGAGTTTAGGGCTGCGTGCTTTAGGGCGCACTGTTGATTCCCAGCAGCCGGATTGACTGTTTCGGGTTCAGGGACAACTTCAGACTTTGTACGCAGACCTTGTGGGTAGAGTTCTAAGCGGCAGAATGCGCATACGCGTTGTGGATGCAGGGCTGCTCCTCAACGACACCGACATAGATACCAGAGAAGCGGGAACTTTTTGCGGGCCTTGGAGTTGAGGAGCGAAACCTAGTTTTCTTTACGAACCCACGCCCACATCCGATTGACAACTCCAAAGCTCAGAGCCCGGAGCCCCATCCAACATCCCAAAGCACACGAGGCTGCGTTTTCTGGGAGCCTTCCGCCGGGCAGGCCAGGCAGCAGACGGAAGTAGACGGAGCCTCCTACACCTAGGTTTGTGGTCATGGCATTAGAGGCAAGGAGCCAAGAGATTCCCTTGTGCACAGCCACATCAAAACGAGGGCAATGCTGAGCCCAGAGCTGGATCGACATTCTTGATTCGGCAGGGACCAGTTCTTTCGTTGTTGCATCTTTGCATCAGCAATGTCACGGGCGCATGTGTATTCACGCACGCGCCTGCATGCATTTCAGCGAGCACAGCAATTCTCGATGTGATGGGCCATTCAGAAGGGTTTGCATCGCCGCTCAGATGTCATAGGTTTTTCCTCATGTGCATCTGTTTGATCTAAATGCGGAGATTGCATGATTTGCCAGATAGCTATCAGTGTCTTGGAGGTTTAGGGTGGAGGTGCACGTGCAAACCTCCCGGCAACCCGAGTCCCAGTGTGCGAGCCAAATCCTAAATCGGACCTGGAAGGAGGGGATGCCGAAGCGTACGCCGAGATGACTTCAAGGCCCTTCCCAAGATCAAGCCTTGTCCTGCTCAGGGCTTATGGCTTATGGGCTTCGGCATGGATTCGGATGGGTTGGGCCTCAGCCCCTCAGCCCTAAAGCCCTGAAGCCTACACCCGAATCCCTCGGCTTTTGAGCAGCAAGTGCATGCACTGTTTTGGGTGACCCGGCCGATTGAACCAAGGAATCTGTGAGTCCCAAAAGCCGTACAACCCCAAGCACTCGGAAGCACCTTTCCCTCATAATTAGTTCGTTGGGAACGTTGAAAAATGTGGAGAGGGAGAGATATGAACGAAACACCATTCGAGTGTTTCAGGCTGCCGAGCAGGAAGCCCAAACCAGTCAACGCCAAAAGGCCGTAAAGGAGAGGCTTCGATCGGAAGCTCGCCATCAGACACGCAGCTGTTTAACTTTAACCGTTATGTCAGAACCCCAAGCTCCCAACCTGCAACCTCGTCAGACACTCAACCCTGAACCCCTGCAAATCCCCAAACTCAAAAGCACAACGGCGAACGGCTGTGTTCATGGAGGCAGCAGGAACTGCGCTACGACTTCCCGGCGCTGGGGGGTTTACAGGCTGGCTGGGGAGTCGGATTCAGGGTTTAGGCTGACAGGATCTGCCAGAAAGCAGACGTATTGGCCTGACCCGAGACTTGCCGACCGACAAACAAAAGACAAAGCAACGCGAGGTCGCTCTCCAGGCCGCGACCCCCGGGCAGCCAAGTCGCACGCGGCGCCGCGTGCGTGCAGCCGCACTGCGAGAGCAGTCGGAGCTAAAGGCACCCGAAGCTTTCGCCAAAGCGGCTTAGGGTTTCGGAGTTTGGGTTTGGGGTTTGGGTTTAAGTAGGGCTTAGGGGTTAATGAAAGGTTTGGGCCTTACATTGTAGGAGAGCTTGCAGAGTTTATGGTTTGGGCTTCGGATTTTGGATTTCGTTGAGTTGAGGGTCTAGGCTCTTGGGTTTAACTCTTCTGGCTGTCTACGAACTTATTGTCATTATCGTTACTGCTGCTGCGGCTAGGGCGAGGAGTGCAGTGGGTTGGAGTTGATGTCTTTTTCATTCTGTCTGCAGCTAGGGGAAGTGAGAAAGCACTCGCCGGCGTGACCCACACATGTACTTCAATCCCTCGACGTGTGGCCTCGCTCGGAAGCGCAGGGAGACCCACAGCGAGCAGATGGAGGAACTACAGGAGACCCGACAGTTTCAGTTTTTTCCCTTTGCTTATGCTAGTTGTCGGTCTCTGGACCGCCCCGTGTTTGCCGGGAGAGGTCTGTGAAATGTAGCGGAGCCAGATGATTCTTCTTCAATGTTTTTTGTTGATGGTGGTCGTCTGAATCCAGAGCGTTGGTAGTCATTAGCGGATTGCGAAACAGCTTCAAGTTCTACTTGGTTGAGGCTTCATTAGTTGTTACAGGAGAAACGGGCTTTGGATTTTCGACCTGTTTAACAGCCGAAATTGCACAAGCCGTTTCAAGCCGCTCTAACTCGAAACCACTACAGTCCTCAGTCCTAAGCCCCCGGAGCTAGTACCGACTAGGCTTGTTTGGGCAGGAGTAGCGCTGTGGGAGGCCTCCTTCGTGCTGGCCGAGTGGCTATCCAGGCCACTTGAGGAGTTGAAGGTGTACGGCTGAACGAGGTGTAGTGGCTTCGGGTGAAGACTATCTTCGACATGTGTACTAACTTACATACCAGTGGAACAGTGCCGTTCGAAGGGCCTTCTCAGATCATGGGGTTCAGGCACAAGAAGTGGGCTGTTCGTGCTTTGAAGTCCTCTCTCCCTCCCCTCCCTCCCATTTATGGTTTATGGCCTTTACGCCCGTGATCGTATAGGGTGCAGAGGCAGCTTTTGTTTGGGATGGACCTTCCAACCACAGGTGGAGGCTTTGAGGTTTCGGTTGCACCTGTGCCTAAACTCCGCAAAAAGGGAGCTTCCAACAACACACCGTGCAGAACAGAAAGTGTCAGGACGGCGCCAGAGCGCGATTTTGAGAACATGTTTGAATGAAACTCCAGGACCACCCGCAAGAGTTAACCTTAGCAACACCTGCGAAAGCTGCTCGCCCGAGCAAACTATGTGTTCGCTCGGTTTTGGCCATGCAGCAGCAGTGTTACATTGACAAAACAACGGGTCGAAACGCACTGTTCCTTGCAAGCGCCGCCGCCTTGTTTGTCGTTCTGTCGCTCAGTCCGCATGAAAGCCTGGTGTCAGATCTCACTTGGCTTGTCCGAGTGCGAGTGGCCCCTCAACCCCTAAACCCTGAATCCTAACCTTCAAACAGAGGCAGGGGGACGGTCACGGCGGTCTACTGGCCTGCAGTGCCCTGCAGGACTGTAGTTCTGCGGCGTTCGAGTATCGAGTTGTACGACTTCGGGCTCATCTTTGGGGCAAGAGTTGAAGGCTTTCGAGGTGTAGGGTGCAGAAGTTTGGGCTCCTAAGATTTGCTGACAGAGGGGCGGAGTATGCGCGCGAGAGAGAAGGTTCGGGGGTTCAAGTCGGTTCTGGTGTAAGAGTGCTTGCATGGGTTTGGGGTTCAAGTTCAGGCCATCATGTATTAGGTTGTTCCTTTTCGGAAGTCGAGTCTCGGGTTTTAAGGTTTGGGGCTTTGATCTGCACATGCTCCCTGGGTTGGCTGTCTCTGGCGATTGCACAAGTCCAGATGCAAAAAGGCGGCTGGACTCAGGACTCAGGACTTGACGAAAGGTTGGCAACAGGACTTAGAGCACGAAGCTCCGTTTCACGGTGCTGGGGCTTCGGAGGAGGCGTGGTGGGCCTTGACGTTTTGGGACATTCCGGGCTTCCAGTCCGAACCTCTGAGTCCCCGACATCCTCCACCACACGCCCATACTCCAAGCTAACGGACTGAAGTCGTAAGCCGAACACCTGCAAGATTAGATTGGAGCCTCAGCTTCTCTCCACAGGGTGCATTCCAAAATGGTTACTGTAGTATCTCAAACTCGCCCATGAGGCAGAGGCAGGCTGGCAAGCAAAGTATGGCGACACCGGCTTGAAAATCTGTGGTAGTTGTGGCACATAGCAGGAGCTGCTGACCGGAGCTGGCAAAGCCCAGAGTGCCAGGCACACCCGTCAAAGATGCCTGTATGAGAAGCTCAGAACCGGGTTCCTTAGCAAGATTTGGCAGCGCTCTTCTACTGTGATGTCGAGCTATGCATTGACAGCGTGTGAACACGTCAAGTGTCATGGCACCCGGAGCCTCGCCCCTGACGCCCAAACTAACCGAGCCTCTGCTCAGATGGCGCAGATGGCGCGGCAAGGCAGGTCCACAGTGTTTGCTTGCGGTTCACCAAAGCGGACATGGCCGGATAAAGGCTTCGAGCCATCACAGACGAAACTGTACAGCCTAAATTCCTTGTGGGATCTGCTGTTTTGGGGAGGCAAAGCAACCTAATCAACAAACTTGGGGCTGCAAAAACCCTAGAGACCTGAAGCCCTCAGCGGCCCCGAAACCTAAAACCTTCATCTTCGAGACAGAGCCATCCTTCAGGTGGGGGTGGAGCTGGGCGCTGGCCTGGGCACCGCCCTTGGATCGGTGCCGGTTTGGGGCTTCGCCTTTCGAAAAGCGCTGGCCGGGCCGTGGTCCGGACACGACAAATATATTCATTAAGGAGGAGCTATACTATACTCATATGTTCATGTGAACAGGACTGACAACAAGCAGCAAAGGAGGGTTGACGTTTTCAGTGAAGGATTTCCGGTGCAGGGCTTCGGCCCAGAATGCAGGATTTAGGGCTTGAAGGGCTTTCAAAGGGGGCCTGAACTTGGGCTTATGGACAAGCGGTGGTTTTGAGGGGTCAGGAAGTCTTTGGCTCAAGCTTGCGCCCTCCGAGCTACTTGCGACTGGCGCAATTAATTCTTTGCACGTAGTAGCATTCTCGCGGCCTTATCTGCCCTGAACCATCAAGCTCAAACTACCACCCTAATGTTGTTGTGAGAGCCTCTTGCCTGGATGCGTGCATGCCTTGTGCGCATGTGCGAGTCACCTGTCACTCACCCTGTCACTGCATGATATTGCGTTCCACAGCCTTCTGGGTATGCTCCGTGTGTTCCGCCGCTCAACCCAGATTGGGCCCCGAGGGTTTGGGAAAGGCCTGCCGTCGATCGTTGCCTCGCAGCTGGGCGCCCATGTCGTGGCAACGGAGTGCAGCGGGTTTCGGAGTCGGGCATGAGATCTGATCATTCTGAGTGGCTTGAGCTTCCAATGCACAAACCTGCACACTCGGCTGAATTGCAAGCTCATGGTGCCCTAGCAGCCCTGAGCCGAAACCCTTGAACACCCAAAACTGAAATCACCAAAGTCATTCAGCCTAAACCGTTAACCCTTGACTTACTCCAACCGATGAGTCGGCTGATCACGCGAACGTTTCATGAAAGTGGCCTCAAGCCGTTAGCACGAACCCCGTACCCAGTAATGAGGCACCTCCCTGTAGCAACTTCATCCGAAGATGTTCCAAGTTCCTTTCTAATATTTATATATGTGTATGAGTCGAACAGTCTTGGTGTGTTTCACTTCAACCGACTATCCCCCCTTTTCGATTTGCAATTCTAGTCCAGGGTGGGCACCAAGCATGTTGCTGCGCACGATTCCTGAATCCCCCTTATCCAAGACCAGGACGGCGACGCCTCTGTCCTGACGCTGCTTCGGCGGAATGTGGAGGAGAACCGAGGATCAGGCCAGTTCTAGCATCCTTATATAAAATATAAACAAACCCTGAAGGGCTTCCGGCTGACAGATTTCAAGGGCACTGCCAGGTTTCGTCAGCTTCTGGTTTCAGTTTTGAACCTTCCGCATCGCTGCAAAATGACGGTGATCTACCTTGGGCTTTTCCTCAAGTTGCGTATTGGTATCAACCACAGACTACTGAACCTCCTGAACCAGCTTAAGTTCTGTTGAGAATGATATCGGGCCAGAGTAAGAAGCTCTCAGGCATCGGCTGAGGGTATAATCGGTTTAATATCGTTGAGGCCGCGTTCTGTTTCCTCAAGTCTTCAAGGCTGGGCTTGCCAGTCAGTCTCCTGTTTCAATTTGACGTTGTCAGACCAGAATTGCCCTAAAAGGCCCAAACCTTCAAACAGCCCTGAGAACCCTCATCTTGGAGCCAGAAACCCTGAAGTATTGGCCACGTCAGAAGGATACAGACGTTCGTGGGGATTCTAGCCGAAAACAAGGGCCCGATATCCGCCTCAGCCACTTCCAGCGGTCTTGCGGGCAGAGGCGCCTTGCGGGCAGAGGCGTTGCTGTGGGGCTCCGAGGCCCGGAGGTTCAGGATTTGAGCATATCGGCCTCGGTCGATCCTAGTCTGGCTAGCGGGAGTCCAGCAAAAGAAGGGCTTTGATTGTGAAGCTTGGGGTTTAGCTGCTCAGGGATTCAGGGCTTCGTGCATCGCAGTCCCTGCTCAAAAAAAGCTGCTCAGGGTCTCAGGGGTTTGTTCGTCAGGTTTAGGGCCCAGACATTTGGGTTTGCAGCGTGGGGTTCAGGGTCTTGTCAACCCAGCGTCCGCACTAGCACATGCAGAGAACTTTCAGAGGCTCGCTTAGGGATGCTGTTGCATCCATGAGAGGAGAGCGTTGCGTGTGTGGTGCTGTGCCACTGCGATCTCCAGCTCAAGGCTTACAACGTGCGTTGAACCCTCGGCGTACAGTGAGGGCGTAGCAATTTTCTTACAGCAGACACGCCATGGTTTGGTCGGTCGAGCTTGCGGATGGCAGGCCGGAGACACTAGCAGAAGCAGAGTTGCGGTGGAAGCCGGACTTTAGGTCACATAGTTGAAGCCTCGGAAACCGTCCTTGTTGGTTCAACCAGGCTCGGCCAAATGTGGTCGTCCCTGACGGTTCGAGGAACAATCAAGCAAAACAGACGAATGAAGGGTTGATGCTTGGTGTGAAACGTGGAGCACCACCTACGCTGCAAGTCCTCGATGCTCCTATGACTGATGATGCGAGCGGTGGGTAGGAAACCATCACTACAATGAGAAGGGGTGATCATACGACCCATATTCTGCATTGCAGGAAGACGGCATGGAGGATTGGGGCATAGAGCTCGCTCCAAGCGTCAGGGTTCAAACAGAAAAGCTCCTGACAGGAAGGCTACACTGCTAATCTGGTTTTTCTTCACGCTGCACTTGCTGATTTTTGGTCGCGATGCTCAGACGCAAGTCGTGCGCCCTGCGAGTTAGAATCATTGACATACTAGGTTCTGTGCACTTGTGCTGGCAGCTGTTGTCTTGGACCTTTTGCCCCACTTGTCCTTGCTTCCCGAACCGGCAGCAAGGATGCGGCCGCGAAAGCTCGGCGGTGGATACACGAGACCTGGGTGCGTTTTGCATGTCGCAGGCATTTACTAAGTTTGAAAGGAGCAGAAAGTAGCAACTGTACCATTAGTGGTAAGTATGAAGTCGCCACAGTAATGTGACAAGAATAATCATGCACGAGGATTGAGAAACCCAAGCCCTGGATGCTTAGACACCAGAGCCGGCCAAACCCACCTCGGACCTCCCATGAAGGCTTTTGTTAAGCTCCCAGAAGAAAGAACCCTAAACTCTAAACCCAGGAGAGGTATGCTTCGAAGAGCACCCAGAAGCCGCAGCCGCGTGTCGATGACGCGATGAAGGTCCAAATAGAGAAGAACTTCTTCCTGCAAAGTTGCTTCATGCAGCTTCGATTCAATGGGGTCAGGTCTTGGGCTTCATGCATGCCATGTAGGGTTCAGGTAACTCCCTGTTGCAAAGAAGACTTCGGGACAGCTTCAGATCTGAATCTATTTGGGGTTAGGCTGCCGCGTTCCAAGATCGTTTCTTCTTTGCTGTCCCTTCAGTTTGCGTAGGGTTTCTGGTTGTGAGTTTGGGTGCTAAGGGGTTGAATTCTAGGACACTAAACGCTAAACCTCAACTACCAAGGCACCACGGGGCGGCGTTGGCGGTGCCCTTGTTGTGGCATGCCCCGGGCGCACGGACCGGCGGGGGTTAAGCCATCCCGATAATGTGGTCTCCTCTTCAGGTTTAAAATCCCGATGTACTCAGGTTTTTGTTGTCCCTTGTTCTAGTTTGGAGACTTGTGGTTTTTCATCGTAGTATAAAACCCTACGCTGCGATCTTGGCCTCATCGTCATGGCCCTTGTGTTTCTCGTCCGGTCGTGGTCACTGATGTGCACCGAGAAACCCGCGGCGAAAGTATCCAAGCACCAGTGAGCCTGATCGGTCCGTGGGGACGGATTCACCCACATCTTTGATTTCTTTGTGGCCCTTGCGTTTCTCGCCACTGCTGTGTCTCGAGGCAGCGCGAAACCAAGGAACCATGCTGTGCGTCGGAAGCATGCACTAAGCCTCGATCTTCCTCCGGCCACTCATCCTGCTGGAGGGCTCTGCCGTGGCCATGGATTGTCATCGTCAGCATCCGATCGGTCCTGTTCGCAGTCATTGTTCTCGTCGTTGGCTCCTGGGTCGTCCTGTGGTGGCCACGGCTACTGGGGATATCAATAACTTATATAGAACCCGATTTGAGGTCCTCAGCCCATTGCTCCGTCACATCATCCCTCTCTCCAGGTTTGTCCAGTCGTGGACTCTGAAACCCTGAAGATACGACAGGGTTGCAAGGTCCCACTGTTGTTCCTCGTCCGGGGCTGCTGCTTTCGTCCTGTCCGACCGACAAACTGAAAGAAACAAATGGAAATGGAGACTTGAATATGGTTCGGTCCTGATATCATTGGTCATTCTCGTTCTGAGCTTCACGTTCGTCCCGTCGTTCCAAAGTAGTCGAAGACTTTAACACAATGCACGAATGTTGTTTCTGTCCTGGTTGAGTCGCTGCAAACACTTGCAAACCAGATGCAAAAAAAACACGATGCACGAATGTTGATCCTTGGCATCTTTCTGCTCATCTGCAGCGCATTCCTGTCGAAGCTGCATGAAACACGTCGAGATCTGTGCAAGAAACCCGTCCTCGTCTTCTTCGAGCCACTGCTCTTCCTCTGGACATTCCTGCATGTTCTGGGGTGTGTATCGCCCGCATGTCTATTAAGTTGCTGTTAGCAACCCCCTCTCTGAGGCAGAATTGTCGTGCTTGATCTTTTCGCTGAGCTGGCGGGGGCGCTGACGCGCGCGGGCAACGGGAGCTTCTCCCTGCCCCTTACCCCGGCGAAGAAAGAGCGCGAATTTTTTAAAAACCTTTTCTGCAGACCGGGGAACCATATGGTTTTGCCACCTTCATGGAGGGACAGCTTTCACCCTCCCCTACAAAGCCTCACAAAAGGGGCACACCTCTCGGTGCGGGAGCTTGACATGCTCCCTGGACCCCGGAGTGAAGTGAAGTGAAGACGAGTGCCCTGGCAGACAGGCGCGGCGCGAAACGGGCGGGCAAGCAAGCAAACAAGATGAGCACGTGCTCGAGAATTTCAACGGACACATGAATGAATCGAGAGCAAGAACGAGGACATTACATACCCATGTGAGTGTTTTTGGATCAGAGACTCCTAAGTGTGTATATATCACCAGGCGAGGGTATGCACATGCCATTGTACACGCACACAGAAGCACACCTAGTTGCACACGTGCATTCTTACATACGACCAACCATGTACTCCTGTAGCGAAGATTCAGCAGAATGTGCGTGCAAAGGCATCGGATCCTGACAGTTTTAGTTTGTTAAGGATTGAGCTTTCCTGCTCTTTAGTCAGTCTGGACTTGACGGTGCAGAATCAAAATCTGGTAGCTGCAGAGTCCGAGTGTGTGAGCATAAAGCCGATCTTGTGGCAACAGGACACTCTGCATTCTGGGCAGCATCGCTTACATCATGCATGGATGCGTCAGCTGTGGAGTCATAACCATGACTGCCAGCAGGCTTCTTGTTCTGGTCCTAGTGCTGGTGGCAATGTCAGCTGCTGCTACAACTGGTGCTGTTCGTACTGCGACGACGCTTTCTGCTGCTACTACTACGACGACGACTACTTCTACTACTACTGCTGCTACTTGTACTGCCACTGCCACTGCCACTGCCACTACCACTACCACTACCACTGCCACTACTACCACCTCTGCTACTAGTCTTACAACAAAAGCATTCTTACAACAACAACAAAACTTCTTCCACCACCACCACCACTACTACTGGTGGTGCATTATTATGGTTTATTATTATGCTTAATTATTAATGTTATTGTTATCATCATCATTATTACTACAACTACGACGACGACGACTACTGCTAACATTATTTCACGACGACGGCTTTTACAGTTACTACTGATACTAACATCAAGACTAGTACCAGCACTAACACTGACGCTAAGGCTAGCACTAACACTAACGTTAACGCCAGCCCTAAAACCAAAGCACATCATAACAGTAATGCTCAGAATCAGACTCAGACTCAAACTGAGACTCAGGCTAGGACTAACACCAAGACCTAAACTAAGAATGCCACTAAGATGTAATCATAACACCTAGACGACTACTGCTACTGCTTGTGCAGCTGTTCCTAGTGCCACGACGACAATTCTGCGAATATTCCTTCTAATAGAATTACTAGCACTAGTACTAGTACTACTACTTCTTCTCTCCTACTGCTGCTGCTGCTGCTGCTGTTGTTGTTGCTGCTGCTGCTGCTGCTGCTCATACTCCTGCTGCGACTCTTGGTGCTACTGCTGCTACTGCTACCGCTCCGGGGACTGCGACTGCGAATGCTACTGCTGCTGCTACAATCATCTTTTCTGCTGCTACTGCTGCTGCCAGTAGGATGAGGCACGTTGTAGGTTTATGGGAATAGTGATCACTGCGGTGATAGTAAGCATGAATACGAAATTAGCGACATGAATCGGTTCGTAGCCATACGTTAGCCATGGATAGTAGACAGTAGCTGTGTTGGTGCCCATAGAGCGCCGGTAGCACAATATCACCATCGTGACACAAGTAGCAGCACGGCGAAGATGATCCTTGCGTCGGTTGGGGGTTTTGGTTGTTGTAATGCATTTAGGATGTAGTCAGTCGCAGTCTTAATGCAGAGGTCGCGAATGATCTTCGCCCTGGTTTACGTGGCGCTTGCAGCCAGCATATGGGAGACACGGGTCCTGCAGGGCCCCGAAGGTACTGTCGTGCAAAACATCTACACCCTCACCCGGATGATCATGACCATGGTGCAGATCGATGCTAGCCTTCAAGTGCCCGCGCAGGTGGGTCTTTCCGTGGTGGAGGTGGGAGTTCGAAACCTGACGCCCGGGCCCAGGTCCATCCCGAATCCAATTCAAGCCCCACCCCCAGGTG